GGGCAAGGGCGAGCTTTCGTCCTCCGCCGTTACCGCTACTTCCGCGACGGCTGGTGATATGACCGGCCCATCTCGCGCACCTGTGACAGAGGTAAGCATGTTTCCGTACAGTATCCGCGCTTGCTTGCCGGAATCTCGAGATATCTGGCTGTACTGTGCGGAATGGCAGTCGGTACGGCAGCGTGCCGGTCGGTCGTGAGGCTTCGGTGTGGCCGGGCATCTTTCCCGGCAGTTACAGAATATCTTGCGATCTGCAAGGGCATCCCGTACTCAACCACGTCTGATCTGCTTTCGTCATGACTTGGAACTGACGAGTGACTTTCGAACAGGTCCAGAACATATTTGTGGCGGCGCAGCGGGGAGACGTCAACCTCATCCGCCAACTTATCGAAAGTGGTCAAGCGCTTGCTACCGATCGCGACGAGCAGAATATCACACCCCTTCACTGGGCCGCTATCAATGCGCAACTACCCGCCTGTCGCTACCTTCTCGAGCAGGGCGCGGAAGTGGACGCTCTTGGCGGCGACCTTGTCGCAACGCCGATGCAATGGGCCGCGCGCGGCGGATACCTCTATGTCATTCATCTCCTCATCGCTCATGGCGCGGACCCCAATATCAAGGACGCTCAGGGCTACAATACCCTCCACCTCACCACACATTCTTCTTCTGTCATGCCGCTGCTATATCTCCTCCACCAACCTGTCTCGGTGGATGAACGCGACTCTGCCGGTCATACTGCGCTTATGTGGGCCGCGTACCAGGGTGACGCACTATCAGTCGATCTGCTGCTCAAGCATGGCGCTCGAGTGGACATTCGCGACGACGCTGGGCTTACTCCTTTGCACTGGGCCGTCGTTCGTGGGAACAAGATCTGCATACGTCGTATCATCGAGAGCAAAGCGGAGATTGGCGCGAAGGATAATGATGGCCGTACGGCACGCGATATGGCGGTTGAGCTGAAGAGCATCGGCGCGTACAAGCGTGCGTTGGAGGAGGGCGCACTGAATGAGGATGGGTCTCCTAAGAAGCGACCTATGACGGAGGTAAGCTTCAGCGCTTGTTGGAAAAGAAAGAACTGACTGACATCCTTCATCAGCGCAACACGAAGATTACCATCTTCTTACTACCAACCTTCTTCCTGTACCTGATCTTCATGACCCTCACCGTCCTTCCGTGGTACACCGGCGTCATCCTCGCCTTCGCCGAGTTCTTCGGGATGCACCACGTATGTCGATATCACATGTCTTACTATGGCATACTGATGTTCGTCCGGCAGATCGTAACCCGTGTATTATTGAACAAGCCCACATACACCGACAGCGTCACCGGAAGCCCTTACTTCTCCGGCATCATCTTCTCGTCCATGGTCTGGTTGGCCTACGTATGGGTCACCCGCCTCCTACAACGTGAGCCTTCGACATTCATTTCCATGCTATTCTGCAGTAATGCTGACACCGCCCTCACAGAGGCACAATCTCACGCCTTTACTCATCTCATCTTCGCTCTCACCTACGGCCTTTGCGCATACAACTTCTTCCGCGCCATTACCCTCGACCCGGGAACATGCCCGAAACCGACCAGTGATGCGGAGTTGAAGTCGGTCAGTCATAGCGTCGCCGTCTCTACCGTTTTGATCTCACATGCGCCACAGGTTATTGAGGAGCTTGTCTCTGAGGGCCGCCTGAACGGCCAGACGTTCTGTATCCAGTGCATGGCGCGCAAACCCTTGCGCTCGAAGCACTGTCGCATCTGCGACCGGTGTATCGCGCGCTCCGATCACCATTGCCCATGGGTCTGGAACTGTGGTACGTGCATTGAGTATGGGCGGTATTGTGCAGACGCTAACGAACACTCGTAGTCGGCGTGAACAATCACAGGCAATTCATCATCTTCGTCAGCTCACTGGTCCTCGGCATCGTCCTCTTTGACTATTTGACCTGGGCATACTTCTCCGCCCTCGACTCCTTCGCGCCACCATCGAATATCTGCCTACTCCCATCACCCATCTGCTCCCTGATCGCATCGGATACCTTCCTCTTCGCCGTCGCAATGTGGTCAACACTACAGCTCCTCTGGACAATCGTCCTTCTCGGCTCTCAGCTATGGCAGATCGCGCGCCAGCTCACGACGCTCGAAGTGTCCAATCTCGGCCGATACGGCTTCATGGGCGGACGGGGCGGCGCGAGCATGTCCGGCCAGATGGGTCATCGCCATTCCCACTCACACGGCGGCGGGATGTCCGCTGCGGACGAAGAGACGCCGACGCTCGCGCATTCACACGCCGGGCACAAACACGCGCACGGCATCAGCGGCCTCTTCGCGATGTGTGGCGGCAACTTCATCATGCACCTCGTCGGCCTCGACCGCTTTACGCACGGTAAAGCCGGTTCAGGGCTCGCGCGCGCAGGCAAAGCAGCGAACCCATTCGATCTTGGGATGGTGGCGAACTGCCGCGATTTCTGGAGTGCGGGGCGCGAGCTGGGCGTGGAGTATGAGAGGCTGTATGAGGTGCCTGCTGAGGGCTTCCGGGAGGCGCGTAGGCGGCGCGAATTGGAGGAGAGGGATGAGCCGGGCCGGAAGGGGCTGCGCGATCGGCTGATGATGGGTTTGGGTTTGGGCTCTGGCGCACGGAGAGGTGGTTACGAGCCAGTGAGCCAAGCGTAGTACATGGGGACTTTGTTTGAGACATTCCTATGTTATATATGATATGTTCGTCGTTGCGGATATTAGACCCAAACGACCAGAATCCTGCTCTGCTCAGGCAGGGGAGAGCTGAGCAAAGGAAATGAGTTTATGGTCCCGCTCTACATAGAGGGGGCATGGCGGATACTGGACGCTGGCAAGAGACGCGCTAAGATAACTTGAGATCATCCCACATGGTTGACGTATGCAGTGTGATCTCTACACACGTTGCCAATATACGGCTCTCAAGATATAGCAATGCTCGAGTTGCATGGATGGTTGAGGGATACTAAGAATCTCTCGGATAGATACTACACGTGATACCCCAGCCTTTGGAAGCTCTCTCTCACGTTCAAGTCCCTGGTGCTGGGCACGCCGCAATAGGACACCACTGTATGTCTTCCGCCGCGATCAACAGAAGGGCTTCGACCGCCTACATCCTTCAGGCTTCTATGATGCGCTGCGAGCATACGGCCTTCCCGCTTCTATCGCAGACCTGGATAGATCCGCCCAATCCGATGTTCCATACCGCGTCCGTACTGCCTACGGTCTTACCGATCCTTTTGTTGTCTCTGGCGTAACGAAGCAGGGCGGCCCCTTATCTCCGCTCAAGTCGACTCTTACATCCAGCCTGTGCAACCACTGGTTGACAGATATCGCACGCACCGACACAGGCTCGCTGTGCATATCTTCGGCTCGCCATCGCTCCCCGCACACTCCCGCTGACTCGCTACGGGTTCCCGTCGTCATGGTCGAGGCCATGGACGACTCCGCCCTTTTCGCCACTCAGCTTCGGACTCTACGGCACTTCTGCATCTCGGCAGAACAGTTTCAGTTGGCCTATGGAAGCGTCACGAGCTGGCCGAAATCCCTCGTGCTAGCGCTCAACACGCCTCCTATGGCGTCCACCATTCCCATGCCGTCTGTCAACATCACCGGCACCGACACCACCATCACGCCCATGCATGATGTCCGGGTCGTGCACGACCATATGGAATTCCTTCGCGTCGCAATTGACGACCCCGTCACTCAGTATCGCCGCATGCGTGACATCGTCTCTGCGTTTGCCTTCCCGAGGACGCTGAAACCGCTACCAATCACAGTCCTCCGCCGCCTTGTGGCCCAGCGCCTCATCGCGTCCCTGAGGCCCAAACTCGCCTTCCAGCCACTGCGACGCAATGATGCTGAGAAACTGGACCACCTCCTCGCCGTCAAGGTCCACGAGTACCTGGGCTTCCCTTTCCAATTCAACTCTGGCCTCCTGTTCCTCCCAATCAACCTACACGGCTTCGATTTCCCTTCCATCGCCAACCTCAACGATGCATACGCGGTAAAAGGCCTGCTTCGGGACCTGAACCATCACGTCGATGCGTTCCGTGATGTATCACGCGTGACCCTCGCCGACTGGTCATGCCAAATGGCGGATTGTCACTCACCGCTGGATATCGAGTCCCGTGCCGGCCCGGGCTCGCGTGCGTACACGCGCTCGATGGGCAAGATCCCTTCGCATTGGCTCGTTGCTCACTCGGTTCTCAAAACTCTTCGCCTATCTATTCGTACTACGAACCTTGACTACCTTTTCTTCGGCTCTGCCTCCCTCCTGCACGTCAACCACCTCCTCCCGAACTCTCGTCGTCTACCACCCGCACTTCTAACTCGGCTCGCCAATCGCGGTTTCGCCCTTCTTTCTCACCTCGGATCGTGGCGGCTCCCGTCCTCCACCCTACCAACTACGTTCCGATTCTACCTACACGACCATGCCCGTACATCACTCGCTCAATCCTTTACCCAAGAACATATCGCGTCCATCACCACTTTCCTTCGTGATTTAACCCTTCCCGACCTCGTGCCTTCAGACCATACCCTCGCCCTTCCACCCGTGGTTCGACGGCTCTACGCCGAGGCCACTCTTGTTTCGCTGCTACGCAACTCTGTCACACCCACGTTACCACCCACCACTGACCTATCCGGAATTATAGCATCAGATGCATCTTGCATCCCAGCCTCGGCCGCTATCCACGAGGCACGTTCTGTTACGACAGCAGTAGTCTCCCACACCCACAGCCTTACTGCCTCCCTCTACCCACTCGGCCGCTCCGCGACAATCCTTCACGGAGAAGTCTACGGCCTCATCCTCGCCCACTGTTTGCACTTACGCCTACGATCCTCTCCTTCTACACTTCACACAGATCACTTGAACTCCGTTAACCTTCTCTCCGATCTGTCCTTACCCTCCTTTGACTTACGTCGCCTTGAATCCATGCCTGGCCGCTCACTCTATCGATGGCTCCATATCCTGCGAACAAGCCCTACACAACTTCCCATACAGCATGTCCGCGCACACACCTCTGACTCCTCACCACCATCTCGGGCCAATGCATACGCAGATCACCATGCCTCGTCCACCCACCAATACGCGTTCAAAACTCCCCCACTACCCGTCCCTACTTTTACTATGGACGCCTTCATGCCATTCAACCCTACCTACGGCTACGTCGAGTCCTCGATCGTCCCTTTCATCACTCACTTGCTTGCTCGTCACAGGTTCTCACTCCCGACGTTCGCACCCGCCCAGACAATGATGCTCCCGTTGTACGACCAGCAATCGCCGCCCAGCTACTACTACACTCACGCCCGAAGCGCCTTCTCAGCGACAGTCCAGCTGTACAGCCGGTCCAGGCAACTTGGTACAGCGGATGTTTTCGCTAGGCGCTACGACGGCCGTGACGCAGCATGTCGGTTCGCGCGTTGTGCCGGCCATGCCGAGGATGACCATCACATCTTCGTTACATGCCCCGCCTTCGCATCCACCCGCACTCAATTTGCGAACGACATACAGGCGGAGACCTCCAAGCTGCTCGAAGCAGCTGAAACTCCTCACCAATATTCGGAGGTCATCACCCGCACTGCCGCTGCGCTTTTCCGCGACGACTCGACTGTGTGGCCACTCTACCACTCGCGGTACTACCTCGGCTTGACACCAAACCTTCTACCACTCCTGCCGAGGGAGGCCGTGCCTTCGCTGTCCACCATTGACCACCGTCGTCTACTCGCGCGAATTGCTGGTGCTTGGCATTCATCGTGCATCCGGCTCGCATCGCGGATCTGGGGGTTGTCACTAGAGATGTTGAGGAAACGAGGGAATGGTTCAGGGAGAGGGGATAGCTGATATTGGTGTCGATGGAGGTGTCGTCTGCTGGTTTCTGACGTCTCGTTTCTCGTTTCCCGTTTAACACCCCAATGTTCGTTGCTCGTTTGTCCACTTCCGAAAAGTCCCGAATTCCGCCACCGCCACCGCGTCGGCTACCACACCCGCTACCACTCTCGTTTCACCAAGAACACACAGACTGCATTTACTATACAATACTGTACATGATTCGGTTTCGGTCTGATCCGGTTTCGGTCTACGTACATACTGATTGTCGGACTGACGAGGACTGCTTACGTACGTGGGTATTCCTAAGCCGCATGTAGGGCGAAGTCAGCCAATAAAACTCCTTTCTCCTTTCTCCTGTCGAGAACGATAGCACCATCGCGTTTGCCGGCCTCAGTCCAAAAGCCCGTCTGCCGGTACACATCCCGGGCAAGCTCGCGCAATTGTTTCATCTCCGCCGTATTGGCATCGACGGGTTCCATTGCGATGCTCGAGAGGGCACTCTCGGCCTACGTGATCTCAGCGCGTGCGAGAGATGATCAAGCCGTAACGAAAACTGACCTGCTGACATACATCCGTCAAACCATGTTGGACGATTGAACCTGTTTCAGTTGCTGCTGTCTCCAGATCAGCGATCGCGACACTCGCCGCGTTGTCGAACATTGTGGTTCGGGCATCTCGCAGGCAGTTCGCGAAGTTGGCCTGACCAGATGATGCGTCAAAGGGCGATCTACAAGAAGGCCATATCGTTCACCTTCACCCTACTCAGAGTGCCGCTTCCTCTCTCCTGACGAGCCATTTCGTAGCCGTCCGCGAGTGCATCCTGTAGATCGAGCAATATCCTTCGCGAGATAGCTCTCCCGGAATCCTTCATGTGCTTCGTTGCCGCGTCCAGTACCCGCGATGTGTCTTGTAGTAAAGCCTCGCACAAGTCCAGCATAGCATCCACAAAGTAGTTTCGAGTGCCTTCAGGCAGAGATAAGAGTAGCCTTTCGTAGAACATCATCAGCTTCTTCTGAACTTCGGGGCGAAAGTGCTTAAGGGCGTCGGTGTTGATGCTGCTCGCCCAATGCAGGCCCACATCGTGTCTCATGGGACTATAAAGAAGCTCGTTGAGGTCATGTTCACGATACGACCCGTCGTGGCGAAGCACTAAGATATATCAGAACCTGACGGAGCATTGCGGGGTTATGTGTGTACGCACCAGCAAGATAGCGCTGCCAATGAAGCGTCCCGGTCGTATCGGCTGCCGATCTACGGGTGCTTGAGAAACGTTCGTATGCAGGCAGGGCTCTCGCTTTTGCCTGTGGATATCAAGATGAGCACGTTAAATAATATGTTGCACTCAGAAGAGTCAGAACGGTGACAATCCCTCACCGCTTGCGCGCCACTGCGTATATGGGGGAACAAACGGATACTGAGCTGTTCACAATATGTCTCCCCGATCTTGGCATTGATTCCAGCGAAGGTGGCCGTCATGGTCCCCGCGAGCTGTATTGCGTCAATGAGACAAACAAGTATATTCGCGCCTCGTTTCTGACAGGCGTACCGCATGCATCAATGCACCTGCGACGCCATCTGGATAACCTACTCGCTATCAACAGCGCGGAAACTACAGGGAGCAGGATCGGACACACCTCTCAGATACCCTCGCAAGACCGCTCGAGTGTTGGCAATGTTGGGATTCTTGTTCGCGGGATAGACAACGAGTTGAATGATGTTGGCGACCTTGCGAAGCTTAAACAATTCCTGGATTACGGCACGAGTGTAGCCATCCCCTGTGAGCTCATCGGCAAGGGCGATCAAATCCGGAAGTCCAGTATCCTCAATAGACTCGAACGCAGAAGAGTTCGTGTCCTGATCGTCCTCATCCTCATCAGAGTCGCTTGCGACTTCGTTGAGATTGACTAGAACACTGTCAATGGGATGTCGCACATAATCAGCGAACTCTTTGACCTCACATTTTTCGTACTCCCTCGCAGCGACGCACAGAACAGGAGGTAGAGTCGTAACACAAACGGGCTTGATTGATACTTCTGCAGATATCATATCAAACGCGGCACAACCTGGAACATTAGACCCAGCTCACCCTCTATCATAGTAGAGTACAGTTCTTTCAGCCGAGGCATGATGAACTACGCGCCAGATCAGCCTTTCGCGCGACGATCTGAAGAAATAGAGACTTGCGTCTGCTCTGGCCCGCGCACACTCAGAGAACCGCGCTCGCCGGATTCCCTTCTGCTCCTTTATAAGATCCGCTCGTTGCTTCTGAGCATCCCGCAGGTCGCGTAGCTCTTCAAGCGTATCATCTGCCCCGCTCCCTGGGAGCCATTTTGAATAGGTGAAAGTACTGATACAGGCGGCGGACGTACCAGTCTCATGAAGAGAAGCCGTCTCAAGGGCAGCATCCGCAGTCATGTTCTTCGACTGGACGAGCGTTCGTGAAGAACCAGGACCACGTCCCGCCTTGGCCGCAGGAAGAGACAAGCTAGCTACTGCCTTTCTTTTTCTCTGAGCTGGAACTTGATTTGAGCACGAATCCAGGCGAAGCTCTAGATGAACGTGCCACTTGTTGCCTTCATTGATTTGATCTTCGCCTTGAGGTCTGCCAACTTTCTGGCCGTGTGCTGCGCCGCTTGATCATAATCACTGAAATGGTTCCGAGCGAGTCCGAGTTCGACTCCAATATTACTCTCGTCGAAGTCGTCGATCTTGGATACTGTGAACGGTTGATGACAGGGGAATAAGCAAAGTAATCTGGGGGACGAGACCGGGTCGCGCGCACCTACGAAAGCGAGTATCGATTGCCGTGCCGCGCTGAAACGTTGTGAGGATGGTGGTCAAGGGGATAGAGCTTGGCAGTGACGCACGAAAAGTCATTGTCTTTGGTGGAGATGCACAATGAACATGTGCGTGATCTGTGAAGTAAGAGACAGACGCACCCACTACGAATCAGATGAGTAACCCCTGATAAGTAACTGACAGCTTCGGGAACACGATCGGACTTACTGACTAGCTGCTTCTGCATCGCGATGGGCATAGCCTCCCGAAGGAGATCTGCTCGTGGATAAGTCGACTTCGTCGGAGTCTGGCGGTTCGAGAGCGAGCGAACCTTTTGCCTGGGAGTTTGACGTAGCGCGCACCGCATCTACTACGAGCCATGCATGGCTAGCATCTTGCATGAACTTGCGGCCGAGATTGTTCCTGTACGCGCTCTGGTCGTTTGTACCCGGGAGATCTCTCAATACGAGGCCCTTCGACAAAATATTGGCGTTGCAGTGAATGACAATTTTATCCACAAGGGGCGCGAGAGAGTTGAAATCGAGTTTCATGCGTCTTTCACGGGCGTCAGGAAGAGCACCTGGTTGCACATAACGCGAGATGGATTTCAAGAACAGCGACGAGTCGCTTCCGGTGAGGGTGTGGGTATCGCCGAGAAGTGGTTTGATACCTATGTGACGTGCAGGTTTGAGCTGTCCGTGAACGGGCTGTCTTTGGTTCTGAACACACCTGCCATTATCTCGTCCTCGGTAAGGCGCCGAAGCTTGTTAAGGTCTGCAAGGATATTGGCGTGAACTTCCTTGACCTGCAACGACGAGGGATCAGCACGTAGATACGTTCTTGACCATCCTTCATGAGACGTACAGCCGAAAAGGTTTCCTTGATGTCTACGAAGTCCGCCTCAACCAATGAACGTCTCTCCACAAGATCAGCGCATCCTAGCACGTTCGAGACACGGATCTTCCACTCATCGTACTCAGTGAAGTGTACAGTAGCCTTGTAGTCCGATCTTGGGTGATACCTGATCTCTATGGCGCTCGAGGTGCACGCTACACAAGCAAATCAGGCGGATTCGGTTCAAACAGTGACATTAGGTACGTACCGGAGGCATTGTGCGTTGGTAGAATGCGTGCTATCAAGTCATGAGCGTTAAAATCTGAATGTAATCCGTCTTCATCCAACCTTTCAACAAGGTATTGACGAGAGTAGTCTTGCCAACGCCCGAAGCTGGGCAGTTGCTCGTCAGCTTCCTTGCAAGAGCTGCCGAAGAGTTTGAGTGTACGTACGTCCTCCCAGACAGATGACGAGCTCCGGAGGTTGGAAGTGAATGATACTGGGCACCTCTCAGTCACACGTCGTATCTGAATGAATAGAGATCCACCTCTTCAGCTCCCCCTTAAGTCTGTCAAATCGTGGGCCATTGCCAAGGCTTGCGTAGAGCGCTTCGGCCATACTACGTATCGCCTCGAGGGCTTCTTCAGCATGAGAAGCGTCTAGGTTGAACCTCATGTCTTTGACGCTCTTATATCGCGGATATGCTACACGCCGAAGCACTGTTAGATGGGTTGACGTAGACCTAGAAGTCTGACGTACGGAAATTATCCATGAGTATAGGATTGAGAGTATAGACTTGAATTGGTTGGAGAACGTTCTCTGCGTCTGGGATGGTAATGGTCAAGGTCAAGATGTGCGCTGTCAAGCGAGGTGCCTCGTGCCCCACGCGCGCTTGTCTTCTTCGCTCAAGCGCTCATGAAGCAAGAGCTTGTCGACAATTGACAAGAAAGCGATACACAAGCATCGTCATATGAAGAGCGACACCGTCTATCACAGCTATGGCGTCCTTGGGTCATGGAGCTCCCCGAAGCAACACCTTCTGCACCGCCCATAGAGATTATGCGATGCACCGCGGTCATGGCCGTGTATACAGCGCGGTATGCACCGGTCCGTACACGTTTGTCGTGTCGCTACGGGGCTGGCTCTAGCGACAACGCACGTTATGCACGCCTGACAGGGTGATATGCGCGCGACGATTGCTATGCGTGTGTCTGTCGATTGTCCTTTACGGGCACCTCGGCGAGAAGGTGGACCACTGCAGGGGAGGGGGAAAGTAGGTTAGCTGAGGCTTCAGCTACTGGCGCATTGGTGACTAGAGGCGTGGATCGCATGAATTGACATCACTCGTCTGTTGGGGAGCTAATCCGTTCCACAAGTGATACACGGGAAGGTGAGAGCCTCAGAGGGCCGTATACAACTTGATCCACTCCACGCACTCGGTCTTCTTCTTGGTGTGCAAAGAAGGACCGGCCGCTTCGAGAGCCTGCAGCGGGACTAGCGACGTTCCTGGCTCGACGAAAGTCAGTAACGATGCCCTTTGGAGGACCGAAGAACATACCGCCAAGCCTTCACGACTACAGTGCTACAAACCGGGGGAGCATTTCGATAATTGGCTGGCTTTCCCGTCGGGGTTTTTCTGGTGCAAGACATGCCGCCCAGGCAAGGAATTCACCTGACCGTTTCCATCAAGGGGCCTACAGGCGTATATCTCTTCAAGTTGCGTGCCATCTGTGCTGATATTGGGACGCTTGTGGTCGCTCGGTGCGGTGCTTGGCGCCCCGAGGTTCCCGACGCGCCCCGACAGCCCCGGCAGCGCCGACGCGCCGGCACTGTCGGCACCACCGGCAGGGATGGCAACTGCGAAGACTCTCACACACAGAGAGGGCGAACATCGATACGATGAGGTTCACATTGGCGAATTAGATATTACTTTAGATAGATGAGGTTCGAGGCAAGTGGTGGCCGGAGCAGAAACGCCTGGGCGGCCGCGCGTCGTGCCCAGCTCGGGCAGCAACTGCCCATGGGCCAGGGTAATGATGCTCTTTCCCTTTTCTCGTTCGCATCATTTCCGTCTACAGAGGAGACTAGCCCAGGGTGTCCCCGTCGCGCGAGTGGATTGCGGGCATTCTTCTCGTTACAAGATCCAAGAAACATCTCATTCTGCACTCCATGCCTTCCCCACAACTTCCTCATCGCCAATAAACGTGCGCCGGATAGTACGGAGGCGCCATTTATGTGCTGGACTACCACATGTGAATAAGGTCAAAGTATGATACACCGATTGTGTAGATAAAATAGACGAGAAACCGCAGCGTGACACGCCTTCATACGCCCGGAGTGGGAAGTACTCGACACTATAGCGTTGCATTCAAGTTGTACCTTTTTTGCAATCACAAGGGCCGGGGTCGCTCTTTCCGTCACGGAGTTTCTGTTTGTTCATGCGAGCCTGTCAGTGTTGTCCAGGAAGCTCTCAGGATGCGACCGGAGGTATCCTCCGCTCCGTGGAAGATGCTACAACAGCTTTTGTATTCTTTACAGGGGGAAACAGCACGGAGAACCAGAGTCTAGTAACTACAAACCACAACAGGACTATAAAGCTACATGTACGACGTAAAACCCTTACTTGAACTATGAGGCGGACATCAGCGTCAATCGCATTACACGCAGGTAAGATACTCACGTTCTTGCCGTCAACCCAGGCCTTGCCTTCAATCTCCAGGTCCCAAGCAAGCGCCGCCTCGAAGAACTTCTTGTCCTCCTCGTTCGAGAGGTCGAGTTTCTTGTACTCGTAGCTCTCGTAGTCGGGCGCAACGTCAACGACGGGCTTGATGTCCTGGCCGCGGGCGATGAGTGCGCCAGAGATGAGCGAGTCGTTGGTCTTTCCAAGGACACCCATCGAGCCGAAGAGGTACTTGCGCGAAGCCTCGAGGCGGTTGAAAAAGCCACCGATGAGGTTGGAAGACATGAATGTCTGCGTCAACTCAGTCGGGTACTTGAAGTCGACGCGCCAGACGGAGAAGCCCTCCTTGTCGAAGCTGCAGATCCAGGTGATGAGATGGTATCACGCCAGGCTGAATACGCAAGGCTTACTTCTTGTAGAACCATTCGATGGCGCCATCAGCACCGCGCGTGTCCATGTTGGAGTAGGCGCGCTTCCAGTCCTCGAGGTTGAACGTGGACTTGGGGAGCGAGTCGAGCGGGTTCTTCGCCTTGGGCTCCTCAACCGGCTTGTCCTCATCATCGTCCTCCTCAGCGGCCTTCGGCTTGGGCGCAGCCTTGGGCTTGGGCGCCTCCGCCTTGGGCTCCTTCTTCTCCTTCGGCGGGGGTGCGTAGGCGACAGCCTTCTCGGCGTATGACGTGGAGCCGAAGACCTCCTTGACGGAAGGCTGGTTCACGACCGTCTCGAAGTGGCGGACAACGTTGGGGAACTTGGCGCGCGTGGGAGCGTCAATGATGGTGGTAAGCGCCTCCTGGAGCTCAGCGGCGAGGGTGATGTCGGCGAGAGAGGCACGTTCTGATGCGAGGAAAGTGCGGGTGACGAGCGTCTTCTCGAGGATGGTGAGGGCGGCAACAACGCCGTCGGTAAGGGAGGTGTGGATCTGCGATTTTGATTAGATCGTTAGCTGTCAAGACGCTTCCAGATTTGGACAGAAGACGTACGGGCTTGTTGTAGGGAGTGATGGCGCCCTTGACGAGCTTGAGAACGAAAGACGTGGGGCTGGCGATCGAGGCATCGGTGAAGGCAACCCACTGGTCGACAATGGCGGCTTCTTTGGCCTCAGAGGAAATGAGAGTGGAGTTGGGGGCCAGGGAAGCGACTAGACGGTGACGAGTCAGTATTTGCGAGTCATATGTGTATCCAAAGACGCAGAATGCAATTGAGATGGTGAGTAGAAGGTTTCCGAGTCAGATCAAACAGGATTGAGGACATCTTGAGTCCTCTTACGCCCCATGTATAGACTACAGTTCACATTCAACCGAGTCAGATCGAGAAAGCACTCACGGTAGCGGCCAATGGCAGCAGCCTCAAAGATCTTGACGCCGTCCGCGGTCTGGAGCGTCGGGGTCTTGACGACGTCGCCGCCCTCCTTCACGTCGATGGAGAGGCCGGCGAAGGCAGCAATCGCGCGGATCTATTCCCCGAAATCAGTTGATCACGCAAGATCCTGGGGATTTCAAGTACGCACGCGCTTGCTCTCAAGCTCAGAGGCAGCGTAGAGAGTGCCTGCGGACATTTTTGGGTATTTGGGAGGGATGAAGGGAGAGAGATGGTGGAGAGAGAAGGTGAAGGAACGCGGCGAAGATTTGAGCTGATCGAAAATTCGGATGATAACGAGTTATCGATTTCCCAACAACGTGTCCCGAACCGCCATGTTGTTGCAGCTCTTTGCGGGCCTTCTCCGCAGAAGTCCTTATTTGGGTCAAGGGCCGCGCCGTCTTTGGAAGGATGTTGGCGAAGGGGCCGACGACAGCCGTGTGCAGGGCCAATTAGGTCGGTATATTTGATCTTGCGCCCCCGAATTCAATGTGCTTAGCCTCGAATTCCCCCTTGAACAGATAGACGCTTCCGTATGGCGTAGAATTATGACAACCACTGCAATATACTATGCTCACTATGCTGTTCATGGTCCCTTTCCGCTTCGTCGCTTGTACGGGTATGCGTCTGGCCCTAGCTGCACTCACAGGGCCCGGGCAAATCGCCGTTAACGCTGGCGGCGGCTGCGCGCTGAGTCACGGGTGCGACGCGAGGCGTCACGGAGTCTGTAGTCACGTCCGTGAAAGGGCCGGGGCGCGCTCAAGTGCAACTCTGCCCCAGCTCCCTTCATTCCGACCTCCATCCTCGACTCCATGGATCTGGCCAATACCCCCTTGATATTAGAAGGGGCCATATCATGTGCACAGGAGCTGAGGGAGATCATAGATGGGCTTTCGGCGCAAACTATCGGAGGCAGTCTCAACCGCGACTTCATCGTCGAAGCATGCAGCCGGTAAGCACTCTTCGCGCTTTGCGAACGCGCTTCATCCGCTGCGATGCTAATTATCATGCACAGTGTCGAGAATCTAGAACCTCCTGCCTGTACGATCAACTTACCAGCGAACTTCGCGCCGGCGTCTCGATTGCCTCGCATAGTCGTTGGCGCCCTTGGTGGTGCGTGTGTGACTGGGTTTGCTGCACTTCATGCTGACGTTGACTAGATACCGGAACTGGCAAAAGCAAACTATTCAATGAGCTTCTCGGCAGTGAGTGCCACCGCCGTCGTCGAGCCTCAGATTCGCGCTCATCATCATTGATCCAGAGAATGTACTCCCTACAAGCAGCACGAAGCGTCAGCCTTGCACCTATCTTTATGATTATCACATCATGCTCACAGTATGTTCTAGGAGCGACGTTCTTCCCTACGATTATCATCCATCATCCATTGCCCACCATTGAGGCCGTTGTCACGTTTATGACCGAGGAGGATTTTGCGAAACACGTTGCGACGGCAATTGATCTTCTGCAACCTAACGAAGACGGGAAGGAGTTGACTGAGGGATCGCTTAAGAAAGACCCCTCCTATTCTCTGGTGCGCATTCTGTCCTACATTGGATCCTGTTCCTATAAGGTTGATGATGAACATGCAGCTTGCCGAGTCTCTTAACCTCGAACGCAATCATTATCGCGGCGACGACGGAAAGGAGGTATCCGCCGCACAAATCTTAGCAAAATGGCCAGGTCCGTCTCAAACTACTAGTATGACGAGTATGAACTCACATTGCCGTTGCGCGCAGAGGTGGAAGCGATACTTGGAAAGACTGAAAACATTGTCGTGAACGATGAGAAGAAGTTCATCGCAGACACCAAACGGAGGTTCAGCCGCGGCAAAGGTCATTCCCAATTCAAATCGTGGCCTCTTATCAACAACATGGTCATCAAGTGCAACGCGGATATCCTAGCTGATGGCACTATACTGGTCGACCTACCGGGATCGTCCGATGTTAGCGCGACGGTATTGCGCGCAACGGCGTCGTTCAAGGACAAGCTTCAGTTCACGCTGGCCGCCGCACGTCTGGATCGCTCGCAGACCGATGCGGCTCTGCAATGTGAGGGCCCATTCGCGCCTGTGTGAATCATACTGACGTCCTGTAGCCAACATGGAAGATGAAGTAGCACGGCAGGCGCGCACCCGTCAGTAATGCAGTCCTCTTTCACACGATAGGACTAATGATGTATCGCCGACCATCTCATAGACTCCAGGTGCGCCTCATCGCTTGCAATTGCAGGTGCAATGTCTTATTTATCTACACAGCTCCGACGCCGAGAACGCCGAGACCTCTCGCACGCCCCCGCAGAGCGCGTCCGCACCATCAGCAAGCGACCCGGCTCTGGCGGTCATCAGTGAGTAGCAACCTACTCTACCTCCACTGGCAAACCTGATGTCCGATCCAGTCACACGATGTGATAGTACTACGAACGTTAACATCGAGGAACTCGAGGCGGAGGACGACGTCGGATCGTTGCTACGAGAGGACCATGCGTATAACGGTGTGCGCGAACGTGTCGAGGCCATCAAGCTACGCATAGAAGAACTGCAGGAAAAGGACGAGGAAGACGCCGAGAGCGACCTCGATGAACTCAGTAAGGCTCTACCGCTTCGTTTGATGTGGGGCTGTCAAGACTGATGTTCATATACTTCGCTCAGCAGCCAGTGATGATGAAGCCGAGGCGCCGCCAAGTCCCACGCGAGATCGCAAGCGCTCGCAAGCAGAGCATCCTGAAGCCTCTTCGCCCACCAAAAGACTGAGAACTGCGGACGGTGTCAAGTTGGAACCCGCCGGACCTAGCGCTTCGGCAGGCGCGGAAGCGATGGACGTCGATCTCAACTTACCGCAGCTGCAGAAGCGACTCGAGGCTTGCGAGCAGCAGAGTCTGGTCATCGCATCGGGCATACGCTCTCAGGTACGTCCACTCACTGACGTATACATGAAGTATTGCTCATAATCATTCAGGTCATCTGCACAACCATCCGGGCCCAATACTTGGAGAAGGCAAAGGAATCCCTCAAAGGTTCGCTTGCTCTTTCTCGTATGCTTGATCCGTTACTGACAAGCGCGCATCAGGCGATATACCCACGTTGCCGGTCTTTGCGACCAGTGCATTCGATTTTGCGATTTTCAAGGGCGATCTCGCATCTGGAAAGTTGACCACCACCGCGGGTAGCTCTTCTTTCTAAACAGTATATCCGCCATGCTGACAAGATCGACCAGAGCTTGACAGAACAGGAATACCCGCCTGTCGAGACTTCATCCGCAACATCGGCGCCCGCGAGCAGCGGGCAGCCGCGCTTAGAGCTATCCAGCCATTCATTGACAGCATCAAATCTGTTTTGGAACTTTTGAAAGTCAAGGAGACTCAAGACGTGGACGCCACAGCGCAACAGAAGGTCGCTCTGAGGGAGCTATGGGCGAGCCGAGCACCCGGAGATGGAGTATCGACGAGCACGGACGGTAATGTCGGGTCCTTCTCGGCCACGCACACTCCGCTGATGGTTGGCTGTCTAGCTGTGCAGGATATATCTTCGAGTGCCAGCATTCGAACAAAGCTCAAGGAGGTGCGTAGTTGTGTTGCCCATTGCCGGCATCACTGAGTCTGATGACACGCGGCTGTATTAGACATTCGAAGCGATCGTGCACTCGGAGATCTGCGGGGTTCGTCGCAAGCTCGCTCAACTTGAAACCGCCTGTAATCGTCCTCTCTCCGATCTTGTGAGTCTCTCTGCGTTTCAAGCTGCAATATCGGTTGACAAGACGCCATTCAAGGCCTACAAACACGTTCCGGAGATCAGTAAGAAGATTGTCACGCTTGAGCGACATCAGTCGACCTGGCGAGCTTGTGAGCGTATACGTCTTGTTGAATCTTTGTCCTGACTAATCGCGCGGTGTCGACGTGCAGTTCTTACCCATGACGGCGTGCACAAAGGAGTGAACTGGAATGCCACTCTTGCGGCCCCTCTCGTCGCGTCGATGGCTCCAGAACGTAAAGCCTTGTTCGACCATTGGAACAAAACGGTGGTCCCGAACTTACGGCACAAGCTCTTCCACGCTGGTGTTCGACTTCTGGACACCGTCGCTCAATCCGCCGCCGAGTACGACCCTGAGCTATCGCAGAGTGTCAATGACCACGTCGGGCGGGCGATAGATCTCATGTACGCCGGCGTCCACGAGGCCTCGCGCAGCATCGCTGCGGAATTGCTTGACCGGGACGAGCGCGAATCACGACCGCAGGCCCTCATCAAGGCCGTGGAAAAAAAGCTGGTGGATGTATATAATCGGGCGCTCAAGACTACGGGCATAGGGTCTATGGAGAAGCAGAAGGTACGCAGCAGACGCATGGCGTTGGATCCGCGAGCATCTTGTCTGATGAACGCCTTGCAGGATTTCCTCGAAGAAGCTATCAACGAGAGGGCCCAGACGATGTTTCCGCCAATCGTGAAGAAGTTCGTCGATGCGCGGCGAGCAACAGTTGACAGCGTTCATGCGAGGCTCCTGGAGGCTTTGAACCAGACGGCCACGGAGGTGAGCTCTTGAAGCGGTCTCACGGTGTGGCAACGTGCATTGACCATGTCACGCAATAGGCCGAGTTAGCTATCTCGCCCGTATGGGCCAGCGTCGGACGCGACGAAGAGCAAGCCGCTACGCAAGATCGTGCTTTCAAGGCCGTGGCCCATATTCGCGATCGTCTCGTAGCGATGGAGACTGCCTTGAAGGACGGCATCAAACACGCCGAGGAGAACGTTCCGTCATGCTACCCGCCACCCGCTTTGCCTGATACCGAATAAAGCCTGGCTTGAGTATGCCGTCTCGAGCTCATGGACCGTGTTACATCGAATAGCCGCACTTAGTTACCTACGTGTCCTATGTTGTCGTTATGTTTACTGTGTATCTATTGCTAGTCATGAACCTGTTTGGAGCGCGCGATCCCGCCAACGCCTATTCGACCCGATCGTACTGGGCATGCAATCGAAAGTATATAGCATAGCGGAAATTGTGAACGTTGATGATGCGGCCGCTTTCCGGATCCCTACATGTTCAGTAGGTGCTGCGAGTCAGAGAAAGAGAAAGATTCGCGAAAGGAGAGACAGGTGGACTGATCGAGAGATAAGATAAGGCGATAACGACTGATCGGCGTCCCCGGGCCAATGCAACGTGTCCCAGACCGTCATGTCGCTGCGTACTTTGCTCAGGCCGCTCGTCGTTGTCCCTCAAGTCTCGATGTCCGTACTCGATATGATACATAGAAGAGGGCAGTGTCATCCATATAGTCGTCAGGTCCGTAGTCGGTCGTATTTCGGGATCCTTGAACGCGCACGCTCATCGGAAACCAGCTCTTTGCGACGCTTGTACTGTACATAGCTCACACAATGCATGTCCCATTTTCATGTCGCTTTCGATGAGCCCATGCGTAGATACCCATGTCGCTGCTTGGATGAATAATTGCCGTGTAGCCGCGCTACCGGCCCGGTCAAGCGTCACACTTTGGCGCGTGAGGTCACCAGTCACGCTCCTCGAGGAGCGCGCCGCGGTCAAGTGCGTCCCCGCTCGCTTGCGTTTGGCCACCAGCTCCTTCAGCTATGGATGCCCTAAATCCTCGAACCATTATGGCCGATGCAGCAATCCTTGCCAAAGAG